TTTCAAAAAAAGTATACATACTTACGTAGAGTTTATTTCAAGTTTTAATCCAATGCTATACACAGTAGGTACCCATACTAGCTTTTTATGTTCAAAACCTAAGGTCAGGTTTGATTTCATAGAAGAAAAAAAAATATATGTCATTTGGTTCTTGAAGTAAAATCGTTATTTTCAGTTCTTTATCTTGTATAATCGTTCCTCGCTATTTATGTTATTGGGAAGTATATAATTTATGGTGTACAAATAACAAATTACTTGACATGCTCGTCACGCCGGTAGTGGAAACTTTGTGGTGTGTATAGCATGCAATTTGTTAGGTAATTGGGTGATAAATTGTACAACGGTATAGAAAGTAAAACTGCGCTCTGTCCGCAGTACATTTTAAACCTATTATGTTATGCTTTTGTTCGCATTGTAGAAGTTCGGGCATTGCCAACAGCCCTGTATAGGTAGGTACAGCAACTACAGCGCTACAGATTTGAATAATTTAGCCCGCCGTAGGAGTAACTATACCGAGATTTTGTTCAATATGCACCGCACGCTTACAACTTTTATAAGTCAAACATAACGCAATATCGAGGGGAGACCTTAATTTTTATCGTGTACCGCATTTGGCAGAATGTACATGAAACGTGATAAGTTCAAATTTCAAGTTTCGGCGCCACCGCGGTTATCGAACTGCACGCCCTGAAGTAAATTATAGCAAAGTCGTATTATTGTTTCAGGAACTTTGTGAAAAAGTTCTGGACAACCAGCTTAGTGGCAGGTACGTCCCGTTTGCTCAGTCGGGTGTCATAGCCGTTAGCTTGTTAATTATACACCTTTCAACTATTTACACCTTGCACAAACTAAGTACATTGGGCTTTACTCAAATAAAAAATCGGGCATGTAAATGTGAGCGCCCCCCCCCCGCCCGCAGGGGTAAAGGGGATTTTGTTACAAAATACAGTATTTATATATATATATATATGTGTACATATGTGAATAAACGATGGCGGCTAACGAGTGGAAGTCAGGTGAAAAACAGTTCCCCCTCGTTAATTCTGTGTTTAAAAAAAATAACTCAACTTGAACGTGATCACGTACTTGGTCAGGAAATGTGCGTAGTATTACACAGGTATAATAATATGTTGTATTATGAAAATGCGCCAGAGTCGTCTATCCAGTCTCCAGTCCTGCTAGTTTCTACCGTCCAAAAGAGTGAGCAAGCACAGGTATACGTTGGCTATGTTTGTCACCAATATGATCGCTCCGTAGGTATACTCCTTGGCGGACAGTTCGAACGTCTCGCTTACCATAATGTGTTGAGTGCTCGTGGAAAGGTACTAAAAATAGTATTGTAGATTGTAGTCTTAAACAAACACACGTCAGGTAATTGGCAATCGCCTAATATAACAATCATACATGTATTAATCTCAAACTACGTGTACATTATATGCTCTATCTACCTACATTTAACAAGTGTAACACACAAGTCTTCATACAGTCCTACCGTTAGGACGTTATATCAACATTGAAAATGCACATAATTCAAAAAATCCCAATTTAATCATATCGGATTCCAGACAGCGGGGTGTCACTGACTCTACTGGCTGGTGTCAAAAAAATTAAACACTTGCCTACCGATTAGCCGAAAATTCAGTTTTTTCTAATACCTACTGATTTTTATAAAAAAAAAAGTGTAAAACCCGTAACCAGTTACAACAATTTGTTTTAAAAAAAAAAGTAGTTGAATAATTTATAATAATAGAACATTTTAGTACACAATTAATGCAAGTTACATTTAAATTAATTAATTAAAGCGTGGAACACTATTATAGTGTACCCACATACCTACTATAAATATTTTATTAATATTATAAAGATGTCATTCGATTAAAATGTTGAATCGTTAAACTTACCGCTGAGTAGCCGAGGGATATACCAGCTCCCAATAACAGCTCCGATTTTTGAAGTCCGTGAAGCACGTAAATGAAAACTATATAAGTTACAAAACACGAGATGACAGTCGTAAACCACATAACGCACATCAGTGATCCATACGATGTAACGTCACTCTATTGATAATAAATAAATAAATATCTCTTAGAAAGCAAAAAAAAAGGTTTTCGGCATTTATAATTTTAACGACAAAACATAAAAGCTATCGATAAACTTTGAACATGATCACTCATTATAAAACTATACATTGTCGATCGTTTTACTCCTTAAAAAAAAAATGTTTACGTTTCTCATTAAAAAATGTATGCTTATTAATAGTAAAGTTAAATATATGCACTTTTGTCGGAATTAAAAACGCTAGTTTTCCAAATGAGATCAATGAGATTAGTATGCCCTTAATTAACATAAGCTATTGACGGGTTTCCGCTTAAAAAAAATAACTTTAACATTTATGAGTATCAAAAAAGTTCATCTTACGAAATTATTAGTGTTGAGCCTAGTAATATTATCCGAAAAATAGACAATGAATTACATTTTCTATAGTCAAAAAGTGATAAATTCACATTGTTTATTTTACAAATAATACATATTTAGTTCATAACCAAAACTCAGCCCCCCCCCCCTCTAAAACATAAAGACCAAGTCAAGGTACAAACGAGTTACTCAATTTGAACTTTCCCACCCACCGAAAAGAAACTAGAAATTCGGTAGCTCGTTGGTACCTTAGCCATGTTTTTAAAATTCCTTTTCTTCACAATATTATTTTCCTATGAACTATTGTGTTAATGTGTTATACATAAATTCATTGGGGTAGCATTTGAGGACCATCGGTGTTAATTGCGGAAATGATAAATTAAAAACTTTTAAAGGGACAGCGCTTCAATGGGGTGATTTAAATATATCTAAATATTTATCGGTATTAATTACTTAAGAACTGACGGGGTGTACTTGATTTGAATCTTTTTGACTTTGAAAACTTACCGGATAACATGCGACAACCACCGCAATGGATAAGGTCGCTAAGAAAATGTACACCAACGACAGTGTTATAAAGTTCACGCCATAATCTGGAATGTTACAAGACAGGAATAGTCCCAGTGACGCATACTAGAAAATTCGTTAATGATTTGGTGATATTATTGCAATATATTTTTATTTGCATTTTATGTAAATTGAAATCCGTAATTGTTATTAATGCACAACATTTACCAGTACTGTGAGCAACACGAAGTTCCAAGGGGAAGATCGCGCTACGTTTTCATTGCCGCACAACGCAAAATACACACCTATCAAAATGGATCTAAGAAAAACGATATAAAAATAACAAAAAAAATTAGGTACTTTTTTTTTTATATTCAGGTAAGAGTATAAAAAATTAAAACTTTTCAATTAAGTTGTTTACTTACAATGAACATGAAAACAGTATCCAAAAATAGTCTTCTATGATTTTATATGCTTGTACGCTAAAAAAAAATAATTAAAGGAGAATTAAAAAGCATTAAAATTGTTATGGAAACTATATATAACGAGTAATTATCCATCGTATTCCCATTGTAATTGTATAGTAATTATTAGTTATAGTTATAATATATATTTTTATTTAGCGTTATGTAAAAAAAAAATACGCTACACCCTGAACAATCTTCTTACAAATTCAAATGTCGCATAAAACTATAAAAAGTATGATTTTTCCAAAATAATATATCTAAGAATTTTAAAATGTTGAGTAGTATACTAATTTGTAAGACAATTTTGTCAAATAATTTATTTTTTGCTTAATTGTTATTTTTATAAAAAATGTTTAAATTTTAATAAAAAATATATTTTTAGATAGGTTAAAAATAATGACAACAATATTATTTTAAAAATTATTATCTTACGAGAATGTGAACGTTGCGAGTATTGATAATAAGAATCCTTTCATTAGAGTTATTATGGCGTAAGCGTTTCGAATGAAAATTTTCCTTCGGTAGTCATCGCCAAACTGGTTTTTGAAAATATTTTCCGAGGCCATTGTACGTCAAGGTATCCCCTCTCTCCTTATTCAAAGCTCTTTAATCTTTTTTAAGGATAGACGGTCGATTTCATTTTCGACAAAATTTGCCTAAATAACAGTTACACGGCAGTACATTGGTATTAAAAATTGTTGTCTATTACCTGATAACAATTTGTAGAGCAGCTTATTTAAAAATCAGTAATTTATATTTTTTGACCGTGTAATAGATAGCGCACATATTATATTAAATGTATTATGGTTAACTAGCAATACTGATGACAGTCTGTTATTTTAGCTAGTAATTAAAAAAAAAATTATTATCTAATTTATATTTCTTTTTATACTCGTCAAGTAATATTACTTTGGATCATCGATCATGCCCGTAGAGGGGGCACCAGTGGGTACGTGCCTGGGGGTGGTTAACCGATGGTTAGTTTTACTTCAGTTACTTTTTAAAATTATTAGTTAAACCTTTTTTTTTTTAATAGTTTGATACTTTTTTTCTTTTATTAATATTGTTGTATACATATTGTGATATATGTAATTTAAAAAGTAGGCGTTTAATAGAAAAGTATAACACTTCAATACCTACACGTTAAATTAGAGTAAAAAAAAAAACATAATATAAAATCAAAGGACAAGGACGACTGATGAATCTAAACATTTTTGTTTGTACCATAACATTAAACACAGAATATTTATCGTTGACACATTCTATTTTTTTAAAGAGATATTTGTATCTACTAACTTTACAACAAAACCTAATATAAAATTTCACAATTTTTTGGTAACGTTATTATTATTTTTTTTTTAAGTTCTACTAAAGACTAGATCTTAAATTAATAAATTAATATATATATATATATATATTCTATGGTAATCACTAATCACCTATACAAAAATATTCATTGCTTAAAAGTTAACCACTAGATCGCATTACAAAGGGTCACAATATTATTTGTTTTGTTTATTCGGGTTGTTGACTTGTTTATCTTAAGACAACGGATTATCATAATGATAATGTTATTGATAAGAGCTATATAATGATAACGAATCTGGTAAATTTCCAATTAAATTTAAAATGTACATTTTTCTTTGTAACGGAATCTCCTAATTCATTAATTTTTTAATACGATTACGATGTGGTTGAATGTTGTTTCACAAGATTTGTCAATACCTTCCGAGTACATAAAATCTACAAATAATCCAAAACGCTTTTTCGCCAATGTTCATCGTATTTGGTATAGGTAAATAGAACTCTAAGTCTTAATTAACATATTTTAATACTATGGTCTATATTATTTGTTTTTCTTCCTGTTTTACTGTAACGGTTTACGTTACGTTTTTTCTAATTTATTTATCAGAGATTTTTTAAATGGAATCAATCGTCCATTTTTACACCACGAAACGTTTACAAACGACGATGTTCATGCAAAAGTGCAACAAGTCGAAAGCCTAGGAAGTGCATGGATTTATGTATTGATTACGGTAAAAGTTTCATAATCTATTTGTATATATTATTGTATTTAAAATGAATTTATTAAATGTCTGTAGGTTATAACAAAAAATGGCAAACAAGTTATTCCGCTGCCTAAAAGAAGTGAATCCATAGATTTCGAGAAAGATCTGAGTTATTCACAGCAACTACAATACGTAACAGTTACCAATAGAAAAAATTTATGGAAAGAAGCGTATAAGAAATATGGTAGGAATTGTAATTATATTTTTTTGTATTAAATTAAAAAAATCAAATTGAATTTAAATAACATTTTTATTTTATTTTTTATTTTAGACGGTTTCTTTTATAGAGAAAAACCATCTTGTCCAAATATATGTTTGTCTTCACACGATACTACAATACGAGATGTTCTAACACGATTTTATAATTGCCCAATAGTCAGTCTTCGAGACAGGTCTCTAAAAATAAGTACTGAATCTGAAAATGAATCTCATTCTAATATTTTACCAGCCAACATAGTGTTTGAAACTGAGAAATATTTCTATTTGCTACAAGTACGTATATTAAAGGTTTTGTTGTAAATTTATTTTTATTAGTTGTTGAATAAATTTGTTGCACTTAGTTATGTAACTTGTTATTTTAAGTTAAATAATGGTTGTGTATTTTAATTTTAATTTTTCTAACAGTCTTGATTGTATATCGTTGGCCAAGCCAAACATGGTTTGATTACTTTTTTGGAAATTGTTATTTTATTTGATTAGGGAAGTATATGGTCTGAACTATGTTCCAGTCAAAAATATTTGTCCAAGATAGTAAACCTTATAATAACATACTGAAAATATGACAGGTTTAATACATGACCATGAAATCTGTGGTCATGATTTTATTATTTTATTGCAATGAGTAAGTGAACAAACTAGCCTAATCATATTATAACCATATAACATTTGTAAATTAACAAAACAAATTATTAATAATTACAATTATAATAGGAAAACATTTAATGTTAAAATTAACACATGCTAATAATAATTTTAAAAAAATTGTCTTGCGATAAAAATGTTTTTTAACTGTAGTCAATTGTATCAATTCATAACCCATAAATATTTGTAGAAATCAAAAATCAAAATAATAATTTATTTAGTAACCTTGTCCTTAGAAAGTCTGTGGTATTAACCATTTATAGAGGAATTGTCAAAAAAATCAGTAACCAAAAAATATAGTAAAATATAAACATTAACAACAATTTGTGTTCACAGGAAACGAACAACACACACTTTTTTCAAGATTGTTCCAATTACAGTCCAGCATTGATAAAAGCTTGTCACGCTCGTCCATTATTTGTTGTTTACCAAATTCTAAACGCTATGCAAAACACTCACGATCGTGGACTCATCCTCGGCGATATAACATTTTCAGATATTATAGTCTCTCCTGAACTATGGATTAGGGTAAGCAACAACTTAAAATAGTTAACACAATTAATATAGAACATTAATTATATTGAGTTTAAATATTTCTATAGATTTTGCCAAGAATTGCCGATAACATTTTAGACGCTAGCGAAATTGATAGCAATTTCGACGATACGTCGTATCAAAAGCCAGCCGAATGTCTGGCTTCAATGTGTGAACAGTGGGTTCGCGGGAAGATCTCAAATTTTGATTATTTAACTTTTTTGAATAAATTGGCCGGCAGAAAATACGGCGATCCAAAATGTCACCATGTATTTCCTTGGGTGACAGACTTCAGTTCTCGTGCCGGTCTTAATTACCGCGATCTCACCAAGTCAAAATATAGGCTGAATAAAGGAGACAGACAATTGGATTTGACTTACGATATAGGCGATGAAAAATCGTCAGTTATGGTATGAATACATTATTAATTAAACACTGTTGCGTGTATCACAATAAAATGTGTGTTTTTTAGACCCCTCATCATGTTACCGATGTATTATCAGAAATAACTTATTACGTTTATCGATCTCGTGTAACACCACGATCAGTGCTTTGTCGATATATAAGAACAAAATTTGTGCCAGAAGAATATCCATCCAGTATACAACGTATGCAACAATGGTCTCCGGATGAATGCATTCCAGAATTTTATACCGACCCTTCAGTTTTTAAAGTATGTTTATACTTATGTATATTTTTGCTTCAATTCAGAGCTGAGAAAGTATTGGTGTACAATGATGTTTTTTTATTTTTAATTATAACATGTACCCTTCAAAAAATACCTTATGATTTACACACTATTAATAACTTTTTGAAAAATAGTCAAGTTACCACCATATAAAGTGAAATACCAAAATATATCGTCAAAATTTTTCTTCCTAGAAACTTTTTCTTTGTAATTATTTTTTTTTTTTGCCCAATTATTGGACTGCAGATAGATAATATTATGTAATACAGATTATTATTATATAATACAGGTATATTAGAGTTCTAGTGTGCACCTATAATTAGTGTTAGGCAAAATATAAATCAAATAGTAAATAACTTTTATTTGTGAATACCCTGCCCTGACCCGATTGTGTTGGCTTTCTGAAAGTTTTTATTTATTGAATTATACTTATTTATTTTATAGTCCATACACAAAGAGTTGCCGGATTTGGGCGTTCCTACTTGGGCGGAAAATGTTCAAGACTTAGTGGATACACACAGAACCATATTGGAGAGTAACTATATTTCTGAACGGTTGCACCATTGGATAGATTTGACGTTTGGATATAAGTGAGATTTACAAGCTATTCATATTTATCTTAATACTAATATTAAATAATTTGTTTGATAATTTAGACTATCAGGTTCAGCCGCAGTTAAATCTAAAAATGTCTGCTTACAATTGTGTGATAATCATACAAACCTATCATCCTCTGGCATTGTACAGTTATTTACACAACCCCATCCCCAACGCCTTTTACCGTCTCCTTATTTTTCACGTATTCCCCCGGTTATGCCAAAAATGAGTAAGTCAATAATACACAACAATAATAATTATATTAACAATATTTTAATCTTCATTGTTTAGAACCACCTCCATTTACTGAAACCCAACAGGAGAATTCCGCTGTCGACAACGATGACAAGTCAACTCATGGTTTCACAAAATATTTAGATTTCTCAAAAATGCCGCTTTGTGTGAGTAAATCTTTTATATTTAACTATCGTATAAGTAAAAAACATAAGTATTGAAAAATAATGTCTAGAATAGATATTGAATAATTGTGTGACAATTTCAATGACCAACACAGTGATTTCTTTGATATAATGCTCAAATTTTGAAATTCGTATAGTTCAAGTTTTAATGCTCTTTCAGAAACAAATCAATGATCAAATATTTTTATCTCTATCTTTCCGGCAGTTTAAAAAAAAAATAGAATTCAGAGAAAAATATATTTATACATTTTATAGTCTGTCACATAGTGACCTGGCATGGCCTACCTTTTGTGTAGGCAAAATAAAGTCAGTAATAAGTACATAAATCCTCAACATTTTAAAAGTAACCAAATAAGCATATTATTCTTCAATAGCTGATCTAGTATGCTTTAATAGAAAAAAATATATAATTGAAATTTTGGCTTAATAAACCAGCTAAACCTCTTTAAAAAATTGTGGTGTTAATTGTTTTAGTTAATAAGATATTATAATATTTCAGCTTCCGCCTGATTACAATCCTGCTATGCCACTGATCGCCTTAGATACACTTAATAGTTTTTTAACTGGTGTATGTGTTAAAATATTTGATTCCACTAGTGAAAATGACCACTCAAAGCACATCACGCCATATAAAAAAATCATTGCAAATCGTAGAGCACAAGAAATTCAGGTAATATTTTATATGATATGTGTTTGTATTGAAAATGTATAATAGATTATAACTGAAATCATCATATGAAAGATGTAAAAAAAAAAAAATAATAATAATTATAAAAAAAGTCTCTGAAAACTGCATAAAAAATATGCATTTTTAGGCGAATTACAATTTTTTTTAATATTATAAAAAATACAATTTTTTTAAAGCGAAAATTAAAACAATTAAGCCTTGCCAGCTAAAGTTTCTAGTCTTTTACTTTAACAGAATGACAGAACAAAGAAGGCAACAGTAATTTAACTTTATCAAACAAACAAAAACTTCTCAACCAATATTTAACTCAAACAATTTAGTAACTCAGTTTTCTCAAAACTTTTTTTTACTTATTACTGTATCAATGAAAATGGTATATTAAATTATATACAATTTCCCAATTAAAAAATTTTGTTTTTTTTTTTGTGTAGGTTTTAGGTTGTCTTATTGTGGAGTTGTTTATGGGCGAACAAATTATCGCTCAGGGCAGCAATCTACAGACATTATCATTTTCGGAACGGTTACAAAGCTGTAGAGTGTTAGCTTCATCATACCAAAAAGACCTACCGAATTGTATTAGACCAATTATCAAGTTATTACTTCAAATAGATAAAATATCTCTAAATGAAAATCTGTTACCATTCGATTTCAATTGGTATTCTGTAATCACAGATTATGGACTCCCTCCGCCAACCGCCCATCAATTACTAATTCCTTTACTTTCCTCATCAATTATAAGTTTTCCCAAGTATTTTTTAAATTTATATAATGTGTTGAAAATTTACCATGATTACAAGACAGTAAAATCTGAAATGGAAAGTGTAAAAAATCTTTTGGAAGAAGATCAAAAATACGCTCTTGACATGTTCGATGCTTTGTGCAAAAAGTTTATTGTTGATATAGAACACGAAATGATTGAATTGAACGAAGTAGGAGTATTTGGAACCCTGGCGGATAGTACATGGGTGGAGTTTTTGGTGCCTATGATAAATGACCTAATGTCTGACACCAACTGTAATACTTTGGCGGCACTGTATTTATTAGAACCATCGTTTAAAGCATTGGGCTTAAAAAAATCAAAACAATTACTGCTTGACGGTGTCGTAAAACTGTATGAAGAATGTTTACGAGACCTTAGCGAAGAAAGCGTTCTTGTCCAACACAAGTGGGTCAAGTTGTATCAAAAATCATTTTTAATGAAATTGGTATCTGGTTTTGGGACCAAAGAATTTTTGAAAAATATCGTACCTATTCTAGTGGAAACAGTAGGGTCTGGATGTAATTTCAACACTGCACATCCTATTCCAATACAACATTTAAAGTAAGTTTGACTATTGATTTAGCCGTGTATTGACCCTTAAATGTTAGCTATTTGGTTTTTCACGTCATGTCGGCAAAACACTTTTCTAAATTAAAAAAAAAAACTCAAAACCCAGATATCGAAAAAGACGACAATTCATTTTTCATTCACGATTTAGACAACAACTTGACATATTATGTATTAGACTACTCTGACTTTAGTGGCGATTCCCTAATTAGCTTTCTTTACAAAGTTATTAAATATGAACACTAAAAATTGTTTCAGCGATTTTTGTGGATCTTTTCCTCCAAACGAAGATTTCAATTCAAATTTTGAAAATAAAAAAAAAATTAAAGTGCTTGAAAGTGGTAAAGTTTTTCGGGTGTAGTATTTTTATAGTATGTTACCTTATATTTATACATTTTGTTATAGACACAATATCGTTGGATGACGAAGCGTTAAATAACAGCATAGTTTCACTTCAAGATGTGCTTTTAGATGATCAAGTTTTTATTGACTATGATCGTCAAAGCTCAGACACCAATTTCAGCGATGACAAAAGCTTGCATGACGTCACTGTTGGTAGTATATCCGACGGCGAAGACACAATATCTTGCCATACTCCAGATTCGGAAAGGTTCAACACCGAAGAACCTTTTAAAGTAATTTCAAGTTGGATAATAGTTTTTGGTATATCGTTAAGACTTGTACATGTGTGTAGGTAGCTGAAGTTAGTGCAGAATCGCTTCTGTGGGTGGCGAACCGAATAGGTCCAGTGCACACGTCAGTTTATATAACCAAAAATCTATTAAAAATGCTAATGCTATGTTACTCGAATTCAATGCAATATGATGACAAAGCTATACTGGTCATTGATTGTCTGGTAAATATTGCAGGTGAGAACAAACAATTTTTAATGTTTTGTAGAAAGGGAAACTGTTGTAGACTACACTTTCAATGAAAATATGTTTTCATATTTTTTAGACAATTGACACCATTTTACATAAATATATAGCCCATATGTGTATCAAGGTTAAAAAACTCGAAACATTTTCTTTACGTTTTCAACGTAAAGTAAACTAGAAAAAAATATGTTATTGGCTCTATTGTATAATTTAAAAATTGTTGCTTATGCCGTCTTTCTAGTCTACTTTCGATTTGCTTATTATAGTATGCTTATAAAATAGCACTACAAATTGTATTTCAGGTGTTTATGGTGAGCAAGTTGTTCTAGTACAATATTTACCACATATCACGGATGTTGTTGGTATATGTAAGCGCAGCAAAATGACAACGAGTCTTGAAAGCGGTCTAATTGGATGCGTGACACTGTTGAAATACCTGATGACTTATTTTACCAAGTCGACGTTAAACGAAATTAGTCAAGTATGAAATATTGAAAGTTACAATAAAATAACCTTGAATTTTTTTAAATTAATTAATTTTTTTTTTTTTAAAGGATATATTGTGCAAAGCAATAATTCATCCAATGTTACGAATATTGTCATCTCCAAAAGTCATATTTCCACTCGGAGCACAAAGTCGTAGTAATTTCGCCATTAAACTTATCGATACCGTTTACTTTTTTGGACTGAAACAAGGTCATCTTATTTCGAAAACAATCCAGAGACTATTTTTAATATTTGACAGGCTTAGACAACAAGTAGATCCGTCTAACACTACTGAAACTAGTCACAAGTAACAAATTTTAAAACATTTATTTATTATTAACAATTTTTCATAACTGTATTTTTCATTGTTATTTAGGAGTCAGCTTGTTGATTCTAATAACAGTGATTCTGGAGATTCCCCTTCGTTAGTCAATACGGAGAAGTCGCACGTGAAAACCAAAGTAAATGGAATAATATTTATATTATATAAAAAGTATAATTTTGATTACTCTTAGGCAATGGACGAGCTCTGTAAAGTTTTAACGCCTGACCTGGCTTATCATTCCTACAACCTGTTTGCCAAGTATTATGGTGAGTCTTTTATGCAGAGGACATTGATGAACTGGGACTATGTCAAAGAACTTTGTGCCACTTATAAACAGGAAAGAGTATATGCTGGCTATGCAAATATTGGTACACAATTATGATTTTTATATAACCTTCATTTTAGCTTTCATGCAAATTTATTGTTTTTACAATGTAATCTATAATTCTTCTTTTAAGCTTTTATTTGAAAGTGATTTCATCACTTTCAGTTATAATCGTTTCTGTAGATCTATAACCACCGGTGGCTCACTGGCTTTTTTTATTATAATATCTAATATGTATTTAATAGATGATTGTTCAATGCGTTTTGAGGAAAAACTTGGACATCTTACACTGAAAGGCAACAAAATACTTTTTCAGGTAATTATTAATGACTCATTTCCACTGTTTTTAAATTATTTTCAATTAGAACTGAGAACATGTATTTTTAAACTTCATAAAACTTCGAATAATGCTTAAGGGTTACAGTTAAAAATGTTTTTCATGTTTAATCATAGCTTAAATTAAAAAATTATACTAGACATTTTATAAATCCTGAATAGTTACAAGAGTGTTATAATGTTTATAAATATATAAATAATTTACAGATTATTTGATTAGAAATACTATTTTATTGTCTAGGAAGAAGAAATAGAGGTCGCAGAAGACGCTAAGATTTTGATGGACACTTCGAGGTAACAAGGTTTACTTAAGAGTAGTCGAACCTGATCATTATTTAAATAAATGCAAATAAAAACAATAAAATCATATACATTTTTATTTAAATTCAAATAAAAATGTGTTTAAATAAAATATTATTTGAAATTATAAATTATAAATAATAATTATTTTAGATTTCTTATTATTTGAAACAATAAACACAAAATACTTATTTGATACAGTAAATAAAAAATAATTGTATGTGCTTAATACAATTCTACTTGAGTCTCATATTTGTTTTCAAATAACTATTTGCTATTTGTTTTTTAAATACAAAGTAAGTTGGTTTTGTTTAATTTTTTTTTTATGTTTGTAACAGACATTTAAAAGGCAACTGGGTTGCGTACTGGGAACATGAAATTGGTCGCAGTAGTCGTGATACTTTATTCAATTTCAAACAGATCAAGTTGCAGACGTTCAGTGGACACCAGTCGACTGTAAAATCCCTAAGTGTTCTCGACAACGAAAATAGCTTTATAAGTTCTAGTCGAGATAAGACTGTTAAACTGTGGTCTTTAAGGAATCAAGTAACTAAATTTTACCAAATGATGAAGTTAACTGTTATTATTGAATTTTCCCTCGTTGACGCTTAGGGTGACGGCGACAGTGTTTCACAGTGTCAGTATACATATAACAAGCATAAAAAATCTGTGTTATCGGTCACCTACATGGAAAAGTTCCATACGGTCGCGTCGTGTGACTCGTCAATACATATTTGGGACCCATGGTGCGGCGGACGTCTAGTGTGCTCTATGAATAGCATACCAGTCAATATTCTTAAATGCCTACCGACTCCCCATCCAAATCTGTTAGCTGCATCCACTCAGCCATCGTTGCATTCCATAGACGCTAGAACGGGCAAATCTGTAGTTGAACTAAAGGTAGTGTTACATTTAAACCAAATTATATAATATTTTTCCAAAAAAATATTGTGAAGTTTTCGTTTATGAGTTTTCAATTGCTTGCTGATAGATTTCCACCAACGCGTCCGGTCTGATAAGAAGCATAGCTGTGGCGGACAATGGTCACTGGGTCACCGTTGGCCAGTCGTCTGGGTTTTTGACAGTACTCGATTTGCGTACAGGTCAAGCACTTGCTAACTGGAAAGGACACGAAGGAGAAGTAAATAACGCTTGTAGTTGATTATATTGGCACTATTCTTACAACAGCTGAACGTGCTTAACCAGATAATACATAACACGTATATTTACTACTTTTCAGGTTTTGCAACTATTAGCCGTCGATGAAAATACAGTTGTCAGTTCGTCGCTCGACCAGTCGTTGTCAGTTTGGAACGTTTCAAATGGTAGCCTTATATACAACATGAGGTATTTGATTAATGATAAATATACATTTAAAAATTATACTGTTACAAGAATAATAATTTATTAATGTTAAATATTGTCGCCAATGTCTTTAGAGGGTCACCCGAGCCAGTCCACTGCTTAGGTCTTCATGGTAACGAACTGATCTCCGGTACAACTGCTAACAGAATTGGAATCCATACTGGTTTTACGAGTGAAGCATCATTTTCTTCAACTAAAATCAGGGCTGATACGTTTAAAGGCGTTCTAACTACTATGTCGGTACTGAGTCTTAATAAATTACTCATGTTGGGCGCTGATAATGGAAACATAACTCTTTTGTGTTAACGATCAACTACGGCTCTACTATATTTTTTATTATGTATTATAACTCATTAAATTTTACGTAATTCTATTTAATTTAAACGCATGTATTACTCCTATTAAATTATAACGTAATTGATTTATTTAATTTTTTTATAAATAACAAATGCATTAAAATATTTTAACAATAATAAATTTATACGTACAATTATTTAATATATTACCTAATATGTTTTAAATTCATTAAGCAATATAATCCAAAGGAAATAAACTCACAGCTTTGGAAGAAAGTAATAAGTACTTTCAAATTATTATAAAATAAATACTGCAAATAGAAACATAAATAATACAGAGGTTGAACGATGGTGAATGCAGCGTGTTTTGTTGGAAACCTAATTTCAAAAAGTAATGTTTAACATAAAATAGAATGCACACATTTTTATTAGTAAATATATACTCTTGTTTTATTTTTAGTTTATTAATTATCTGCATTCTTAATTAAACGTTTTAAGAATTCCATAATCAGTTTATGAGTGTCGGCCTTTGTTATATAAATTGTGATTTAGTAGTAATATAATACTACAATAATTATTATAAATATCATTATACAAATCAATTTAGTACATTAGCAAATATAATTTTGGATTTTGTACGATATTAGTATAGGTGTTAGGGTGATGATTTTACAGGTTTTTGGAGAATTTTTATTTCAATCCATTTATTTCCCTGTTTGAGCTATAAGTTTAACATAAATATAATTATGATCAAAAATGATTTATCTAATATTATTTTTTAATTTATAAAAGTTTGTTTTGTTGTTAAAACGATGGTTAAGTCAAATATAGTCGGCGAAACTTAATTTTTTAATTGTTTACAAAACCTTCATTTATTTATTTTTTAATTTAAAGCTGAAAAAAATAACTTTAATTCTTTTTTTAAAACAATTATTACAATAGAAAATACATAATATCTTACTTGATTTTAAAATTAGAATAAAAGCTCGATTTTTCCTTTATTAATTTGTTTTATATTATTTTTTTTTATTCACTCTGCAGTTTGTGCTGAAAACCATTTACCTACACGACATTATTGTAATTTAACACATAACAATTGTATTATATAATAGGTTTTTTCCAAATAAGTTTCTATACTCTGTTCTTATTCCGAACAGAGTACAGTCGATTAAAAATAAAAAAGGTTCTTTATATTAATTTAGATAGATTTTAATATGCTACGATACCTAGAAGTAAGTATTTGATATACATTTGATATAGTTTTGGTATACCTACCAAAATATTACACAGAAGCTAAACGTCTTTTAATTTGGTTTGATCCGCTGACGATACGCCTGTCTTTCTAAATTTCTCTGCTAGTTCGATATTGACAAACTCTTTGTACTCTTTCGACCGCACTGCTCGTATAAACGAATTGACCACAGTGAATTGTACACCGTGCAAATGTTTTTTAATGTATGCCAAGTAGAAGTCAGCGCTTAAAACGTTTTCGAGTATATGCGTTTCGTTGACACGGTCGTTCAAATTTCTCAGGAACGGTTTGAGTTCCAAACGAGGTGACCTTTGTGGAATCATTCCCGACGACAACTCACGTTCGACTACCCGTGTACTGCTTAGACACGAATCGATGTGTTTTATTGTAATAGCACTTTGGTGTTGTTCATAAAGAACGCGCGTTATGGGAAAATACACGTGCTCGTCTACGTTGAAAAAAACGGCGAATTGTTTCACCGTGGACAGTAGTCCGTTGTTGTAAGCACTGTACTTGGGACCCAGTGGCTTTTGGTCCACCGCGGTTTGTTCCAATATCATTCTGAGCAGAAGCAAATGTCTGATGATTATATGCACCAAGACGGTGTGCAATAGTTCAATGAAAGCGGTCTGGCATTCGTAGAGCGACTTGATCTGAGCCGCCAACGGCAGCAGTTGTCTGTCGTTTCGCTGATGAAAAAAATCATGGAAAATCTTCCAGAACGGTTGCCATTCGATAAAAGCCACAGACATATCGGCTAATCGTCGCACGGCATTCTTGTTGGCCGGCACCCTGTTCAATATTAAATTGTGCCACAAATTTGTCGACTTGTGGTTAGGGTAACGCTTGACAAAATTATTATAAGACAGCAGCCCGACGGTTTGGATCAACCGCGAATTCAGGTTCAAACCTCTCGGCTGGGCTTGTAGTTGTTTTACCCGATCCATGTAGATCCTTACGGCTGATCTCGAGTAGTCCAATTGGCAAAACTCTGATGCCATGAACTGTTTCAGCAATTGGCCGACTGAATCGTGAGCGGTCAACAGCATGTCGTGTGCTTGCTGGTCGAGTTCCGAAACGATAAATGTGCCCATCGTGTTTGTATAGATGTATAATATCCACAGAACATTCACTGCTGGCCGCAGTGTAGGATTATGATAAGCGTGGTCGTCGTACACGTTACCCAGCATGAACTGGATCAAGTCACAGTTATTGGACACGTCTTCGGCTGTATCACGATTAATAATATGTTTTCTTTCGGCCAAGAAAATTCGAGTGAGCTGCACGTGAAGGTCCGCCCCGGCTATGAAACTGCACACAAGTTCTTTTTGTGACGTTTCCCCGTGAATTTGAACGTTGAACGCGCTAAGCCAAATAACGACATTTATTTGAAAAAACATCATTTTCGCAAAACTCAAAGGTCGATACACTACACTAAACGCAAATACCGGCGCAGTAGTATCTGTTTTCCAATTGCGAATCGGTGTTGTTGATCGACTGAGACATAGATAACCATTTAGTTTTTCTGTGACGTGTCTTTTAAAATTGTTTTCTATGTGTGTGTGTGTGTGTGTGTGTGTGTGTGTGTGTGTGTGTGTGTGTGTGTACTTGCAATAACCAGTCTTACACAGTGAAACCCCAACTCAACAATACCATTGTCCCTTTTGCTCTGTAAGGGATAGACAATAATCTTTATTTGGTTTTGTAAACACTAAAAACACCATTTCAAACACACGGTAATTCTTATAAAATGTATAATATATTATTCTATAACCTGTTAAAATTCGCGCTCATTGTACTCTAATCATGTATATAAAGGATAAGTTGATTAATTTAACGAAAAGCCTAGTTTACACTATGTTAGTATTTAGTCAAGTTGTAACTATAGGTGGTTTACCAACTACTAAAACGCACATTAGAGAGCACCGACTCCGACAGTGTGTTGCGAATGTGTCAATGTGTGTGGTATTTTACAAAATGAATAGAATCCAACGTGGAAACAGATCAAAAATGTATATACAAACTGTAAACGCATCACCATAAGTAATTAGCTTAGTGGGCCGACAAGCTACAGCCTCGTGTATTTTGTTTACGAATTTGTGTTTTCGTCAATTGAAAACAACAATGTAAATACTTTTTGAAAATTATTATTTCGTTAAAAGTTTTAATTTAAGTTTAGCTCAACAATAAAATTGTTTTAAGAACAAAAACGTTGTTCGTTGGTTTCGCATGTTTTTATAATAATTATTATAAGAATATTATTATTTATACTAAATGCTAATTTGCATGCTCCCCGCTGTTGTACGTTTGGTAGTCGACGACGTAGCATTCCAGCAAGAATAATATAATTACAAGTTTTTGTTTTATCAAAAAAGTCATCTTTCGCAGTTACAACAATTAAAAAAGGTCACGATGTAGAAACTTTCACTCTTTTAATTGAACATAAACGGCATTATTTACTGTTTCTGCCCTATCCTTTGATTATATAGTTAAGCACAGTGATGTTTCAATAATTGCTGTCCAACAATTGGTAACACATTCAGTGGAACATAATATTATTTATACATTTTGTGTCCAATATATCGGCCATAGACAATGGGATGTACTTCTGTGAATCTCTGAATGATAAACTACATTATATAAATTCCAGTGTGGTACCCATCAATACCGTAGTACAATACACATCAGATGATAATCTGCAGTTCAGAGAAATACGCACCCTTAGCGCGAATAGACTTATGAATGGAGGTAATGAGAATAGACAAAAAATGTATCCCCAGAGAAAATAACGAACGAACGTTTTTCCAAGATGATGCAAAGAAGCTTTCAAAGAGTTGCAAATAACAATAAGAAACCGACGGATGCAACTGATGTACCAGTCACCTTATTATTATATTATACTATTATGCAGCGTAGAAAAGGAAGTTGGATTAAAGGCGTAGAAGAAATAAATTCCAAGCGAGATAATGTTGAACTTCTTAATCCGGTAAAGAGCGTAGAAAAATTCATCTGCATTAATTTATCAACAAGACTATGGAAATCAGAAAAATAGATGCTGAAAACGTATATCAAATACTGCGACCAATAAACTAAACACTCGTTGGTTTTTTTTTTAAAAGGGCGTATTGTTGTGCAAAAAGGGGCAACTCCCTAAACAATTATTTGAATTTAAATATCTTAGCAATACTCAAACCGGGAGTCTCGTTAAGGACTAACAAGATGCCAGCCACCGGCTGGCATCTTGCATGTCAAATCTTCAGTGTTGGCTACAAATTTTAGATGTATTCATCATCTTATTCGTAGACGGTAATCGTATTCAAATTTGATTAATGAAGTTATAGCAGAATAACTATGGTAGAGTATAAAATTACATTTGTATACATAATATATAGCGTGGTTTTAATCTGTAAGGAAATGTCCCCAAATTTAGTAAATTATTTCTGTAAATTTATAGAGTAGGGTACAATATTTTGGCAGTTGAATAATTTTATTACTAAATGCTTTTTTTTGTAATGTTAGTAAGTTAGATTGTGGCAGCATATTAACATACTAGCATCGTATATTATTGTTTTATCGTCAAATACTACTTCAATGACACACATATTCTCAAATAGAAGCTGTTTTAAGCTTTAACAAGCGATTGTAGATCTTAATACATTAATGTAAAAAAACACTGTATTAAACATGCGCTCGTGCGTCCAACCAAAGGATATTATGTTCAAGACACTATTAAAAAGCGTTTAAGCGCTGACCATTAATATTGAAGTATTTTTCGGTTGAGAGCAATTTACCAAATCTATAAAGGATTTATCATTTGGCATAGCAGTGTAGATTGGGATCAAAGAGACTGTGGTCTCCACTCTCCAGAGTGTATGGGTAAATAAAATCGCTGATTAGAATATTCATATTTTATCTATCATTCCACGACACTTCCGGTTTACAACCTTTCTTTCTCTTTCTCGATTTTAAATAATCTCTTATCCTAATCTTAGATTTGGGTACAATCGACTTCTTATTCGTTCTCCCCATAATGCCTCTACGTTTTCTATTCGTCACGGTGATAAAGTTATGCATGACTTTGTCTGTATAATTCTTTACGAACGGTCCGCCCTTATACTGGTCTCAAACAATGTGTATATTCTTCAAAAAGAAAAATGTATAACAGACAAACTGTAACCTTCTATAAAGTAGATAAAGTACTTACAGTGTTAGCTCTAAAAAAAAATTATGATTGTGTCAAAAAAAGGTAGTGAATTACTAAGGCCGGTCAAAATTCGTTGATTAAAAAATAATACTTGCCAATCGTTTGATTCAAAACTCCTATAGACATTTTTTGCCCACGTCAGACTTACCAATACCTGTTGTTTATAGACAAAAATATTCTTTGCCTGATGAGCAATAAGTGTATTTTACGAGAGCCACTTAGGGGTGCAGGCTTTTTATTTGACGGTGTAAAGGTTTCAACCTTTCGGCCTGACCGGTCTAGCTTTAATCTTATATTATACCAATGAACCTTATACCTTATACTTAGGGCTTAGAGCTAACCAGTGGTTTGTTTGTCGAGTCTCCACGGGATGTTAAGTCGATCGGTGGCTCCCTCTGGGACGGGCCTGACCACGCGGTCGCCGGCGCGGCCAGGAAACGATCAGTTGCCGCGCTTCCGCCAACGTGAACGCCATTTCGTACAAGGATAACATTTGTATTACCGGTCGCGTGTATGGTGTTTCCGCGGTATTTTTGAAAATAACCGAATCCCCGTCTAATACTGCTAGTCGACCGCGTACTCTTGACGGGCCCACAATGAGAGGGTATTGATCGTCTGTATACTTTGAAACGCTCTATAAAATAAAATAAATAAGAAAACAACGACTTCCGCTGTAAAAAGCCGGGGACAATACGTGGTAAGTACTGAAAACAATTTTTAAAGGCAAATTTAACAGTGATTGTATATTTTCGAAAACCTGTTGAATGTCTAGAGTAACTAAATGTACAAAATTCTAACAAGTCGTGTATATAAGAACTAGGGTGAAATATTTAAGTCCTCTATTGTAAATAGGTACATTATAAATAATAGTATTATATCGTGTTACCCGATCATTAGTTGTACTGCGATATTATTTGTAAGTAGATAACTTATGAATTTGTTTACATAAGCCAAATGCCTATAATTTTAAAACCCAAGAGCTGAAACGGAATTTTATCAAAATTTGCGGGGAAGTCCATAAAATAGTCCCCGAGGCTGTGTAGGCTTTTCAATTAACAGTTTTAAAAATTTGTTTTTCTTATTTCATAACTTAAATACAGTATAATATTTTTATCTTGATATTCTCGAACTTCCAGAAATCTAATAGTTTTAATAAACGTACATAACCTGCTTTCTGATTTTGTATTTCTTCTTTCTCTTCACTTTCTCATAATAATATGTGTACTCTATACAATAAATAAGTTATCTGTAATCTGTAACAGTTCTCGCACATTAGAAATGTTTTCTTTTCCTTTTTAAATTTACTTACCCTCTGATCTTAATATTCTATTTACCAGCCGCTCTCATTCTGTTGATACACCATCATTTAACTCCTAACTTAGTTTCATAATGTATAATACCTGATTATTTAATATTGCTCTAATAAATGCACACTTTATCTACTAATATTTTATTAATATATCAATTAGGCTCAAGCATATTATTATTTGTATATGCCATTGTTACCTAAATTTTTTTAATTTATTTCAAACCGATGCAAGACTGATGCGTTGGTTTGTCTAGTAAAACGAGAATTGAACTGATAAGTAGAAGTTTTACCGATGCATTTTACTTGCTCGCAAGTGTAGACCTTGTTGAACGTATAAGCCGCTACAAATCACCGTCTCGTTCCAAGTATGACTGTTACCCGTTCATCTTTGTCTCGTTCTCTAAAACTTCTATCATCTCGCGATTAACCACCTGTCTCCCAGGTACTCCGAGTTAAGATAATAAATACATGTATCAAATGAATTGGCTTCCCACTCCCGGTTTGTTTTGAATAGTCTTGACTATATTGTACAAGTTAGACGGAATACTTGTGCAAATGGCCCAGGAAATAGCGGCACTACATAGTTCTAGTGTTAATTTTTGTCGAATTGCACTTAAACGCCAAAGCTAGAACTTAAACCGAAAGCATATTGTACTCTATTGTGTGGTATTATTCTTAATATAAATACATTGTACAGTATAAAAATAATTTCATGGTTGAAATTCTTTTGTACTTTCCAAAAAACCTAGCATAACCTTATACAAATTGAATCAATTTGTACATTTCTCGAAGTTTTTTTTATTTTGCTGCACAAGAGATGGATTGTTTCGGTTTTCAATCGACTTCCATTCTCTTTCAAGAAAATCCCAACAGCTTACCATTCTTCACCGTTAAAGGCGTTGATCGATTCAGTGGTTAAACTGTAATATACTTTTATGAAAATAAACAAAAAAATAATAATAATATTATACCAGCTAATAAAATGCTTTAACTATTTATCGTTTTTTTTTCTTTTATTGTTATAAACGGGACGACAGCTCGAAGTCTGCAATTCAAACAAACGTGAAACTAAAATATTGTAGATAAAAGATTGCCAGCTGTTGTCTTAATAGGTTTTCATTGAAAAAATATCGCTGGAAAACACTAAAATCGGTTACAATGATTATTTAGATAAAATACATGGAAAGTTTTCCATTTTCTTTTTTAAGATATGTTGTGCTTATTTTTAAGTGTAAATTATTGTTTTCAGTTAGGTTTGTATTTTTGTAAAACAAATTTTCAGTCATTGAAATGTCTAATACATGATTGCTTATGATTAAAAGCTGTAAACGGTTCATATAATGAGTAACATTTCGAGTGTTATGTTGTAAATAGCTTTTTTTTTTTTGCGATAATTAGCTTTTAAAGTATCGTTTAGATAACATCTCGCCGGATTAAAAAAAATATATAATTTGGCTGACTATAATTTTAATAAAATTATGAATGTACAAAAATACCTTACACGCGCGACACGCCCAATGTGTGTCAATGGTCCGGTATTAGTTAAATTACTTATTTATTCGTTTTATGACACATTACTATGAATCGACGATCAATACATATTTGGTATTAATATGAATATATATTAAACGAGGTTTATTTTTTTTTTTTTGTAGTTTTCCATGAATACCTTTTTACTGTAACATAAATTGTATACTGTGTTACGCACAGAACATTCCATATAAGTATGTATTTATTTCTTACATCTCATAATTAAATAAAATTTTACTCGCCTAATGCAAAAATGCAAGCTTATAATTAAAAAAAATATATTTGTTCCATAATAATTAGGTGAAGTTCGTTATATATACCTACACGAGAATATACTTTCAAATGTTTTTATACTTGCATATTGCCTCCACTCTTCACCATATTCTTATAATATTTATGACAAATTATCTATTCTTCAGCAAAAAAGCTACTCCGAAAATTAATTTCACAAACGCTATACTATTGTATATTAATTTTTTATAGTTATTATGCATTTAAAACCGTGTAATGTAGTAGCATAGGTAATATTATTTTACATAATATGATTGAGGTATTGCATGTTAATAAGTGTCCTGAGTATAATCATTTTACATAGTGGGTAACTTTTTAATGGAATTCTTGATTATTGAATTATTAAAATCATACTTGTTATACCTGTACGATACAGACTGTATCATTATGGACTATTTTATGATGCGGTATAAAAACAATCTATTAAAAAGTCGTTTGTAAAAAAAGTCCTTAAGTCATAATTTATTTATGAATTGTCTTTTCCTAAAAACTGATCTAAGTGATTAAAGAATTTTCAAATATTTTTTGATCAGCTAAGTATATTAAATGTATGATGTGTGCTTAATATTTTATATATTTTTCTTTAAATAAAAGAAAATAAAGTTCAAAATCGAACGAGTTCAAACTAAAAAGGATTAAATATAAATCATTTTATTGATGATAAATATGTTTATAACAGTATTTTGATTTTTTAGGTTCTCCCGATAAAAAAAAACATGACTATAAGTATTTAAATTTTATTCTAAGTGAAGCGATACTTGTTTTATAAACGTTTTGAGTTGAGAATAATCTACTGAACATTTAGAGTGGACGATTGGGAAATCATGATTTATTATATACATAATATGTAACAATTAATTAACATCATAAAACTATTGTAGTTTTAGTAATCTAGTAGATACGATTAGGGTTGGCAATATCGTAATAAAAAAATCAATGAAAATGATTTTGCTGACACCTATTGACTTTTCATTAATATACCTACACATAGAAACCTAGCAAAAAATTAATACACTAGAAGTCTACAATTCATAGAAGTTGTTACAAAGGGAAACATATGCGTTTAGATCAAGAAAGAGTACGTTTAGCACTCCGAAAACCTCTGGGGAGTTGGCACGGGTTGGAAATTGTCTCCGACTCTCTAAAACCAAAGGTCAAAATAAAATAAAAACAAGATGGAGACAACCATAATTTTGACAGCTAACGCCATCTGAACTGTCGGTGGATTCACAATTTTGAAATTCAAAAATAGATAAATATATCTTTTCTTGGCGTTAAAGTAAAGAAAACCGAAGATACTGTCTCACATTTTTATATATACTTAACTGTTCGTTCAATTTTAACGAGCCATCCACTGGTGACTCCATTTTAATGTCCGAGGGCCACTAAATATTTGAACTTGACCAATGTGTCAACCTTTTATCTGTGCTGTATAAATGATACGAATTTGATAAACTTATTGATATAATGTTTATAAACATAAATCGTATGCCCAACACTGATTTTTGAGCTTATTATAGTAAATATATACTTAATATGACGTTATACCCCTTATTTATTAATGAGTTGGGGATAGGCAATTTTTAACCAAATCTTAATTAATAGCTTAAACCGTAATGTGGTAGTTACTATTTTTTATGACTATCCTTGACAGCGATTTAACATTTTTCAAGTTGGCATTCTGCGTTTTACTCAATCTGTGACGGTTTTAAAGTAAAAAAAACCTTATTATAATATATATTGAACGTTTTAAAAATTAAATTGTTCTTTTTTTTAAAACAGTACCTAATAACTTTTTTTCTAGGCTATATTTACAAAATAAAACAAATATGAGATTCGCTCGAAAATAGCATCTGTTTGTCTCGATTCCTTAATAAATGTTTTTGTTCCAAAACCACCATAGAACGAGAAGGTATAAAGCATTCTTCACACTTCAAAACTCGAGGTATAACCGACAACGTTCGTCGTCCTCTCATAAGTCGAACGAAACCAATATATAAGAATCAATAAACCGTTATTTGCGTTTGACGGTTCCTGTCTAGATAGTTTCCTAATCATGTCCATAGTGCGGAAACTGAGTTTGTTTAATACTTTACGGGTAGTGTAATCTCCGGTGGGAGTTAGTTGTTCTTTCGGTGGAAACGTCAAAATCCGTTTTCAACTTCAAAAATCACCGTCGTTATCAACTTGGAGTTCCACCGGGACCGACCGCGTTACATTGTTACCGTCGAATATAACTTACATAATAATATGATTCAACGGAAAGCTCAATATTATTAGTTTACCCGAATTCGGTTAGGTAAACCGTCGTGCCGCTGCACAATCTGCCTCTAGCTGTTCCAGTTTGTCACTTCGTCTATCTACGAGGTACACCTTAATTGTACTAGGTATTATAATAATATCGATTCGTTTGAATCGCAATCGTCAAAGCCGGTGGTTGTTCTAAAATAATGGTAGAGATATTTATTTGAAAAATGTCGTCCCAAAATCGTTACACAAAGACGTGCGTGCACTCTTCGGTGGCATCAATGGCCAAATGTATACATCGGGGTGCCCTTTTGGAATAG